TATCTCCACAGAATGTGGGTGTGTGGTCACTCTTAGCTTCATTTCTCCCCATAGACCTTACTGGCATGGGTGTCCCTACCAGGAGCTTGTGCTCCAGCCTGCATTGCCCTATGGTTCAGTAAAATTACTGGGCTCTCCCACCACGACCAGGTGGTGACCACGGGAGAGTTATTATTATTATTATTATTATTATTATTTCTAGCTTCATATTTAAATATAAAGTATTTCTAAATAATCCAAATTTATACTAAAAAAATTCATGTAAACTGTTTTTTTTTTTTAAATACAAATTACAAAAGAAATATGCAGGTTTGATTTATTCAATAATAAATTGACATGCCAGAAAATTAGAGAAGCAGCACATGCAATGTTGTTACCTTTTACCTAAGAACTTTTGCACATGTCACTATAGGTATGATACTTATTGGTTATGTGTGAGCTTGGTTAGAGTAGCAATGGGCAATGTAAAGGATTTATCACCATTTGATTATGGACAGATTATTGGAGCAGAAGAATGGGTTACTACCAGCAACTTGCCAATGCTCTTGGATTTTCTTGTGCAACAGTTTCAAGGGTTTACTAGGAATACTTAAATTCTGGACAGACATTAGCAGCATATTGCAGTATGGGTGCCCATGACTAATACAAGAATATGACTGCCAGTAACTGCTGAACCTATCAGTCACTTCCAATGCACTGTACAATCAGTCACTGTACAATGTACACAGCATTCCTTGGGATTTGGTAGTTGTCGACCCATTCAGGTACCACTACTAACACCTAAGCATCAGGCAATGCACCTTATCTAGGCCAGAAAACATTGAATTGGACAATGGCTGACTGGCACTGTGTTCTGTGGTCAGATGAATCTCTGACCAAACTGATGGTCATGTTTGTGTGTGGTGACAACCACATGAAGCCATGGATCTATCATGTCAACAAGGTGGAGTGCAAGCTGGTGGTGGCTCTGTCCTGATTTGGAGTGTGTTCTGTTGGCATGAATAGGGACCAATGGTGAGACTACAGTTGACCTTGACAGTACAGTGAATACTAATTTTGTAGCAGATGTTTTGCACCATTTATGCTTGCTATGTTCTCCGACAGTGATGGTTTGTACCATCAGGATAATGTTATTTTCATATGTCATGGATGGCACAATAATAATTCAAGGAACACTTGACAGACTTTTAGTAACAGACTTTTAGCTACTCTTTTGGCCTCCTAGGTTGTCTGATTTGAACCCCCATAGACCATTTATAGGACTTTGTGCAAATGTTACTGAATACCTTGCAGAACTATCTAACAAATGCAGCTGAATTATGGAGAGCTATTGAACGTGTCTAGATTGAAATACCTGTTTAACAACTCAGACACCTCATAGTCTATGCCACATTTTGTAGCTGATGTTATTTGGGCTCAGGGAAGAGTTACATGTTATTAGATAAGTGTCTCTAATTTTTTGGCACTTTAGTTTATAATTTACAGGAGAGCCTTGTTTTATACAGGATTGATATAAGTATAATAACATAACCACAAAAACACAAATCTAAGTAGATTTGTTTTTGCAGATGGCAAATGGTCATGTTAATCTTTGGAAACATAGGCTAAGATCCTGGACAGATGAATCACTTTATGGCACTACAAAAACATGTGACAAAGTGACAAACATTCTTTTTTATATAATTTAAAACAAACAACTAGGAGCCATTCATATGAGCCATTTTAAAGTGACAGTGTCAGGTAGATGCAAAACTCTGCTACTAAGTGGTGCCATCCTTTTGCTACCCTGATGGTTTGGCTTGTGTGAATGCCTTCACATAAGCCACACCATCAGGCCTCTCAGTTTGACTGGATATTGTAATCTGCAAAGATGCTTTCTTTCTTGTTTGACAAATGTTGTTTGATACTGATAGATTTATGGTAGAAGTTGAAGCTCATCCTGCTATTTATTAGGTTGTTATTATACAAATGAAATGATAGATTTTTTACTTCTGACTTTGAATATTTATTAGTTTAATTTAAAATTTACATATTCAATCAAAATTGTCTCCATCGACATTAATACACTTACAAGTTAGTCTAATGTAATAGAAATGCAGTAACACCAATTTGATAGAAATCATGAGAATGAAAATCCAAAAAGTTATTAAAAGTACTTTCGATTGCATCCTCTTTTTGAAGACTTTCCTTGCCAAAATACTGTTCAAATGTATAAAAAAAGTGATAGTCTGTTGGCAAAAAGTCTGGAGAATAAGATGGATGGAGAAGAATTTCATTTGAATACTTTCATTTTTGTGACAAATAATTAAAAAACTGCAGACCCCAAATGATGCTCCTTATTTCTCTCACTGAGATCGTGTGGTACCCATTTGTTGAGCTTCTTGACTTGTTTAAATGTTTAAATGTTGAGAAATGTTTGAATAATGTCCAGTATGTTCAACCTTTCTGCAATTTCCAGGATGTTATAATTTGAGGATGTTCTTCAGTTCTGATTTTTTTTTTTTAGATTTGTATTCCCAGAATGAAATTTTTTGAGCTAATGCCTGGTTGCTGCTGACTCACAGCATCAAAAGCTCTATTGGTATTTTGGGTTGCTTTGACTGTATTATGTCCCTGCTTATACTTGCAAAAGAAAATTATTCAATTTCCTTATTTTCTGTGCCATCAGAAAATGTATTATTAAACATATGGAACTCACAATATAAATGAGATTACATTTTTAATTCACATATTATATGTGTGCTCTTCCAATTGCAAACATACAGCACTGTTCACATGGAAAAAAGTTGAACTACAAGGCTGAGAAGTTTAAATTTTAAAAAACAGCCATTTTATTTGCAATGACCCAATAGAATAGCAAATGTCAAGGTCATAGTAATAAAACATAAACATTTCTTTTTTGTTATCCATGATTACTATGAAAATGCATCACTTCCTCTTCTTCCTTGTGATGCTTTTGAGCTTCTTTCATGCCACACTAAAGCATTTCTCTACGGTGCTATTAACCCCTTTTAAGAAAATTTTTTCTGTCGTCTTCAATATAATATATATATAACAGCCCTTCTACATAATTATTAAAAGTTAAAAGGCATATCCTAAATTTATTTGAGATTGAAAAAATATATAATATTTTTAATGTTCAAAGTTTTATTGAGCTTTCTCTCAAACTTTCATTGACCCAAAGGGGTCAATACTGACCCTGTTGGGAAGCCCTTGTTTAGCAATTATCTAGAACTATTTGTGATGAAATACAAATTTACACAGAATTTCATTTAATGCAGTATTTGCTGAAATAAATCCTATTTAAAACAAGGTTAAATTGTAATCAAGTCAAATTAATCAGTTTCAACTGTATTAAAGCTTTTATGAAATATAAATAATTCATAATAATATGCTTATTTTTATTAAAAAAATTAATCAAATAAAATTTTAATAATAATTAATTTTTAAATATTGTAAAATTATTAAAAAATTATATATCTTAAATACAGTGGAACCTTGCTTAATGAGCATAATTCGTTCCAGAATCTTACTCGTAATGCGAAACACTCGTTAAGCAAAACAATTTTTCACATAGAAGTTAATGTAAAATATGATAATGCGTTCCATGCTGCCAAAAAAAATACTCAAATATTTTATATATAATGTTTATTCAAAGAAAATTACATAATATACATTGTTAAGCATGAATCATCTTCTTCATTTCTTCTAGCACAGAATGAACCAACCTGAAATGTGAATTCAATTTGCAGAAAACAAAAAAAATCACAGATAATGTCTGATGAAGACACCAAACGATATGCCAAATTCTTGATCTATAAAGGCTATAATTAAATATTATAAAATTAATTATACCTAACTACCATAACTACCTACCTCTAGTCAAATTAGACTAGAGGTAGGTAGTTATGCTCCCATCTCATATTAAATTTAATAATTATAAATAATTAATTTTTAATTTAGACATTTCTAAAATTGAATTTGGAATTGGTCATTAAATTTAGTACGAGATAGCATATTTATTATTATATAATGGGCTATGATTGTTGATGTTTATACGTAATATATTTGGAAAAATGTGTGATCGTGAGCGTCACTAAGATACTACCGTGTTTCCCCGAAAATAAGACAGTGTCTTATATTAATTTTTGCTCTAAAAAATGCACTAGGTCTTATTTTCAGGGGGATGTCTTATATTTCCATGAAGACGAATTCACATTTATTGTTGAACAATACGCTAAACAGGTTCGAGAGAACACCTTGCGACACATTCAACTTAACCTTTTTATAGTGTCCACATCGAGCTCGATGACCAATTAGTGCTTACTGAACCGTAGCACTATGCAAATGTGATGTGGCGTGATTCCCAGCCGACCAATTAGCGATCACCAGCGATAACATTATGCAAATCTGTGATTCCCAAGCCATAGTCTTATGCAAATCATGCCGTGTGGCGTAATTGTCTGCTGACCAATCAGTGGCTGTACTTTCAACCATCTGTCGATGACCGTTACGACTAAAAAAAAACTTCGCTAGGTCTTACTTTCAGGGGGAGGTCTTATATTTCGCAATTCAGCAAAATCTGTGCTAGGTCTTATTTTCTGCGGATGTCTTATTTTCGGGGAAACACGGTAGTGGAACGCATGCTAAACACAGACAGATGGAGCATGTGCACAATCTGGGATTTCCCCTCTCCTTGTCACTCGTTATGCGAAACATCACTCATTAAGCGAGTCAAATTTTTACAATTTATTTTGCTTATTATGTGAGGTGCTCATTAAGTGAGGTTCCACTCTACTGTTTAATTTAATAAGTTTATTCTCAAAAAACTTAGGAATTAGTTTTGAGAATAAATTTTCTTGAGAATTTTAAAAGTTTTAATTAAATTTTCTTTAATAAATAACAAACAGGTATTAAAACAGGTAATAAATAAACAGGTGTTACAAATGAAGCCTCCTATAACACAAATGAGAGTTGTATCACCAGCATTAATATCTGGAAATTTATCAGCACAATTAACAACTCCTGCAACACAAACAATTGTAGGACAACGATTAGTAACAGTAAGAATATTTTATTTATTATAATTAAACGTATTAAAAATTTTTGTAAATTATTATTATTTTCTTTTTTTTAATTATTAAATTAGCCAAAATTACAAGGTGGAACAAGTATTAAAACTATAGCTGGTTCAAAATCTTTAACTGGAATATTGAATCAGACAACTAAACCAGTCATATCCTCCAGAAGTTCTGTTTCTGTGAATTCTAAAGAGAGGGAAAGAGACAAGAAAAGTTTTACAACATCTCTCAGGTAATTTATTAAATAGTAATAATATTTAATAATCCAATGCTATTTTATTTAAATAAATAAATAAAATTGTTATTTTCAGAGATGATGATGATATCAATGATGTTGCTGCAATGGGTGGTGTTAATTTGATTGAAGAAAGTCAGCGGATTTTAGCAACTACAGCTGAAATAGTAGGGACACAAATAAGGTCCTGCAAAGATGAAACTTTTTTTTCGTCTGGATTACTTCAAAAACGTATTTCAAAAATTGGTAAATAATTGTTTGAATTTTTTATGAAATTTAATTTAAAATTGAACTTATCTAATACATAAAAATATAATAATTTATTTCTATTTGTTTTATACAAATTTTCCTAGCATCTTTGCCATCTTGTATTTGCTAGTTTTGCTATTATTAATTTTTTTCATTTTTGTTTTTTCTGTCTTTCTTTTTATAACGTATTGTTTTTATTCTTTGCTATTTTCATGAAATAATTTTAAATATTAAATTTTTACTTAAGAGTAGTAAGAGGAAAATCAAATAAGGAAAATATAGGGTGTCCCATGTAATACTAGCATCACCATGTAACACTAGTCCCATTGATTGAGTAAATTACTGTAATCTTCATAATTTATTGGAAATAAAAATAAATGAGACAAAGTTAAATTAGATAAAGAAACTCTAAAAATTAATTTTACTCATAAAACATTAAGGAAATTTTCATAGCCAATGTTTCAGTATATAAAGTAGCCTGATTTTACTCAATTGGTAAGTGGGCTAGTTTTATCTGAGGACACATGGAATTTTAAATGTGCTTTATCAGTTTAATGTTGCTAATATATTAGAGTGTATACATAAAATTTTGTCAAAGTCAGAATTTATTTTAAAAAAATTCATTTTGATTTGATGCAACATTATATAGAATTAGCTTTAATTACTAGGCATTACCATAATAACAGAGCCATTTGTATTATAGTAAATAGACTCTACAGTTCAGCAATAATGCAAAGTACAAACAGTCTGGTTTCTGTTTGATCACACTGCATGTATATTTTCTTTCTTTTTTTTTAGCTGCCAAGCATGGAGTTGATGATGTTTCAAGTGATGTCATTGCATTAGTCTCTCATGCAGCACAAGAACGTCTGAAATCAATTATTGAAAAATTAGGCACGATAGCAGCACACTATGTAGAAAATCCAAAAGTAAGTAGGGTAATTTATTTTTATTTGATGGTATTTAAATTATATCAAATTTCATTTTGCATTATAGTAAGGAGTTTTGGAGTATATAATTTTTTCACTTGTGTTTTTAATAAATATTTCAAAGATATTTTCTCTTTTGTTCATGACATCCAATAACTAGAAATATTTGTTTTTGCTTTTTTTGATAAATTGAAAAAGAAAAAAAAACAGAAACAGACATGATAGATATAACTTTCAATTTTCTTTTTCAGCATTTTTAGGATTAAGGATTAAATAGCAAAGTAAAATGAGATATATGTTATAAAACAAAAATTCACTCTTGTCATTAAATGAAATGAAATCTGTAAACCAATGAAAATGTTAGTTTTGGTTTATTGCATACAAGAATGAATCATGTGGTTAATGTTAGCATACTTTTGTCTGCTTCTGTTGACATCTGAAAGAAAAATTTTTATAAATATAACAAACATTGTAAAGCCTGATGAGCATATCCAATGATTGCCTAAATGATTGGGCTACAAATCAGCTATTTTATATAAATAATACAAAATAATTTGCTACTTGGTAGGTGTTAGGCATCATCTCTTAACTAAATTAATAATTATAATTTAAATAATTTATTAAATAATTTAGAACCTTCTGGAAGAAAATAACTGACCCATGGCAAGGCTTGAACCAGTAACCTCTGCTCACCAGTTGCACCACCCTGACTCCAAGCAAGCCTTTGCTTCCAGAGGTATTTAAAATGTGGATATAACCTTATGCAGTTAATCATATAAGGTTATAGCCACATTTTAAATACCTCTGGAAGCAAAGGCTTGCTCAGTGTCTGGGTAGTGCAACTGGCAAGTGGAGGTTACTGGTTCAAGCCTTGCCATGGGTCAGTTATTTTCTTCCAGAAGGTTCTAAATTATTTAATAAATTATTTAAATTATAATTATTAATTTAGTTAAGAGATGATGCCTAACGCCTACCAAGTAGCAAATTATTTTGTATTAATTATTTAAAATAGCTAATTTGTAGCCTGATCATTGTATGTTTATATGAAAAACTTAAAAAAGATAACAATCACAATTGCTAGATTAGTTTAATAGTTTAATGTCCAAATGAAAAAGTATATTATAAACTCAAGATGATTTAATTAGAGGGACAGCTTCATATTGCTACAGTTCAGCAAAACACTAACCAAATTTTACAAACCAGAAAAAGTGCTTAACAGCAATTTGATAAATGAAATGGTTTTGGAACTTCTTAATTCCATCCTTAGATTCAACATCAACAAAGTGAAAGAATATTCTAACATGTTTATTTCAAATCAAACATCTCTGTTTGAAAATTTTGAAATTATTGTTTGAAAATGAACTTCATATAGTACAGAATTTGTGACATAGTTGATTGTCCCAAAATTGATAAAAATAGGATTAACATGGGCTAAATTAGGCCATGATCATGTTTAAAAAGTAATGAAACAAAATATATTTAAGTCTAATTATATCATTTCTTTGTGATACAATCTCATTAAAATAATGGTAGTTTCTGTAACTTGAAAGTTTATTAATTCAAAGTTTTTTGTTTCTTTCATTATAAGTTTTGAGAGTTAAAACTAATATAGCCCATATACAAACACTTATTTGTTCATTTATTCATACATTTTAGATATAATAAATTATGTTTTATCATTTGCCTCTTGCTGATGTCACAATGAAAGTATACTCTATTATTTATATGATTTTGATAGTAATTAAAAATAAGCAGTTATTTGAGGGTTTAGTGGAAAAGTGGTACAAATGACAAATAGTATAACATTAGAAATAAAATTTAACATTGGTTAAAAAATAATATTTTATTAAATTAAATAAATAGATATATTTACTTGTCTATTACTGACATTTATTATTATATTATTTTTAATGAAAAAAAAACTGTTTTGTCACTTATATTGCTTTTTCATTTGTCCCTCCATTTATGTTGAATAATTTATTTACATGTGAAAAGCTGAATTATATTTATTTAACATAATTAATTTTATGCATAATTGAAAAATGTAAATTAATTTATTTAACTCATCCTTTTTACTAATATTACAAACATATTATTTCTTAGCTTAATTCAAAATATGAAATAACAAGTAATGTTAAGGACCAATTGGCTTTCCTTGAAGAAGTGGACAGGTTTAAAATGTCAAACACAGAAGAAATGGATATATCTAATGTAAGGAATATTCTTTTTATACAGAAAAAAAGATATTAGGTTATTTATATATATAATATCTAATTTCCATAATATTATACAGGGTGATTTGATAAATGAAGAAAACCCAAGATTAAGTAAAGAAGAGGATAAGGTTAGAATTTAATGTTTTGACAGTGTAAAATAAAAATTAATACTGTATAAGACAAATTTAATACTTTTAAATTGTTTAAAGCAGAGAAAAGAAGATAAAAGACAAACAGAAACAATTTTATCAGCTCTTGGATCAAGAAAGAGATCAAGGACTGATTTTCAATCAGATCAGGTATATTTTTCTATTTATTTGAAATAAGCATATACTTAAAAAAATTTATTTATATGTTTGTATAAGTTAAATTATGAACTCACAAAATTGGGCAGTTAAAACATAATATGAAATAAATTAAAATAAATTATGTTAAAATTAGCTAATTTATAATTAAAAAATAAACAATATATTTCTTGATCAAAGCAAATGGTATTAATTTATTATTTATTTTTAATAATGAATATTAGATTTCAGTTAATAGGGCCATTAGTTAATTGGGGCAAATCTTCAAAACTGAAACAAATCAAGAAAATAATCAGAATTTGTTTTGATATGAGACATTTTACCATTTAATTAGGACAGCAATTGCTACCTTATGACATTGCTGCTTGGTTGAGTTCATTTTTATTTATGGGTTACATTGATTGTCAGTTGGTTATGTTTATAAAATCTTTTTTGTTTTGTATATACTGTATTTTTTTATATATATTAAATGTTATTGTATTGTTGAATGAAATGTTATTTACACTGTTTTCTGACTTTTTTTCATTTATTATTTTGATATTAATCTGATTTTTTAATATTTATTGTTATAATGCATCTTACTTTTATATATCATTAATTATGTTATATTTGTGTTTGCATATATTTTAATATTTTTTACAATATTTTAAAATTATTTATGAAACATTTTATTGAAATATTATTGTTTTTAATGAAAGGATACTATAGTTTTTTAAAATAATAATATTTTTTAGAAATTTATTATTAAGTAATCAAAAAAGTAAATTTTCAATAATAATAATTATTATTATTTATTAATTATGTTTTAATCATATGTGTAAACTTTAAAAATTTTTAAGCTTGTATTTAAAAAAAATCACATTTGCAGCTATAATAAACATCAATATAATTGTATTTAAAATGCAACATAAATATTTATCTTAAAAGATCAATACAAAAAGCACTTGTATATAATATATAATTTAAATACTTGTATTCATATTTTCCTCGTGATATGGTCCAAAACAGCTTGCACATAAGCAAACGTTACAGAATGAGCATTCGAACATACTTTCCATGTATCTGTTCGACGCTATTTTTTTATTATGACGTCAGCACTGCATGCAAGTTCTTTTTCTTCTGACTATTTTCACTTTATTATGCAGACCTGCATTTATCATGTTGATTAGGCTGGAATATCACTTGTTCTACCTCATATTTTTCTACTAAAAAAATTTTTTGAAAGTTCGTCTATAAGATTTAATCTAAATTGGATTGATGTTAAAAACTGTTTATTTGGTGGATTGTTAGTTAATTTATATAAAACATAACTGTTTTGTACAGCAGTATCAAGATAAAACCAAAATAAGTAGAACCACCATTTAACAGATTTTCTTGATATTGAATAATAATTTTGATTTTGATCTATTAAGTCCACTCCTCCCATATTTTTATTATAATTTGAAAATATGAGTGGACATTGTACCTCATTCACTGTTGTCTTTTGGTGTTCACTATCATCATTTTTTTGTTAGTTGATACTATGTTAATTTGTTTTTTGTCATGCCAAGTCAAACATAGCAAATTTCTTTTTTCAATACATTGTTTTTGCTTGTTTTCAAAATTTTTTAGACTGGACGGTAGATACTTTTTATTTTCTAGTATTGTGCCACATGCATAATTTTTTTTCTTTAGCAAATCAAGTAGCAGTGATATGCTGGTAAAAAATTGGTCGAAATAAAAGTGATGGTATTGGTTATGCAAAACTTTTGTTAAATGCGACATCATATACAAGCCCCTTTTCACTTCCAGGGATTTTATCATTTTTTCCACAATATATGTCGAAATTGTGCACATAACCATTATTTGAATTGAATAGCATCCACATTTTTAGGTCATGTTTAGCTGGTTTTAGAAGCATATATTATATTTTAGTAATGCCTCATCAATTGATATATCATGGAAAGGAGTCAGACATGTTTGACAGTTTTTTTTTAACATTAACATAAACGGTTCTACTTTCTGTACTAAATAATAGTTAGGATTGTTCCAACTAAATTTCTCTTCTGTATTTGATAAATGTTAATACTTTATATGACAGAAACGATTACATGTCATTATTTTGGCAGGTAACCAATTTATTCCCAAAACATAGCAGGTAACCAATTTATTCCCATTAGAAATATACAGCTCTCCCTTAATAGTCCGACGGGTATGGGACCAAAGGGGTGTTGGATTACCAAAAGTGTCCAGGTTACCGAAAATAATTACATATTTTGCATTGTTTTGCTAGCAATAGCTTACAATATACCCTACTCCAACTGTTCGAACAGAACAGAAAACACATGAAATGTGTGTCATCGTGTAAGAATTGGATGGGGGAGATTCACGTAGTGACATGCTTCTGTGCAAGCAGACACGTAACGGGGACGGGTACGTTGACGAGAGGTGCGTCGGACTACTGAGCATGTCGGATTAAAAAATGTCGGACTATGAAGGGAGAGCTGTAATTGAAATAAATGCCCATATTCAGATATACAGTAGAGCGTCGTTTATCCGAATCAATTGGGCAATGGGGTTGTTCGGATAACTTATTTTTTGGATAACCGATTATGTACGAAAAAATATATTAACCTATCCCGTGTTGAAATTTTTCTCTGTTGTGTGTTGCTTCGCGTTGAATTTTCGTCGATGTTAATGTAAACTTTTTAAAATAATAATCGTGACTATTGTATCATTAAAAATTATTTCTTTATTTTGTACAAACAAAATAAATATATTGAAAAATATAAAAACAATAAAAAATTATACTTCAGAATTTAATTTAGTATCAAAAACGTAAAATATTTGAGTAACCCAAGACATAGCCAAACGTTGCAGCGCCACAGCACTAGTGAAAATTTAAATTTGCCAACTGGAATTCTTTTGGATAACCAACGTTTCGGATAAACGATGCTCTACTGTACTTGCAATAGGTATCTACAATTTATAAGGATATCCTCTAGTTCAGGCAATGTATTCTGCGTATTTGTTTGTATTTTCTTTTATAATTTATTGGGTTGTTCGGAAAATAAGTTCATTTTTTTTCCGTGAAAAACCACAATATTTTTATAATAAATAAATATTTTATTGAATTATATATTGACCATTTTGGTCAAATATCTGTTGTCATGTTTCTGGTAATAGCATGATTTCACATTCATAAAAGTTTTTATCCTTGCTTACAAAAAACTGATTCAAGTGATTTTTGACATTGTCATTTCAATTAAATGTCTTACAGTTAAAAAAAAATTGTATAGACCGGAACAAGTAATAATCTGAGTGTGCTCCATCTGGTGAATATGGTTGGTGTGATAATATGTTTCATCTAAGTTATAACAGTTTCTGACGAGTTACCAAACTTGTGTGAAATTTGACATTATCATGGTAAAACACTACACCTGTTTNACGAAGACTATTGTATCGTTAAAAATTATTTTTTTATTTTGTACAAACAAAATAAATATATTGAAAAATATAAAAACAATAAAAAATTATACTTCAGAATTTAATTTAGTATCAAAAATGTAAAATATTTGAGTAACCCAAGACATAGCCAAACGTTGCAGCGCCACAGCACTAGTGAAAATTTAAATTTCATTTTTTTATTTTGTACAAACAAAATAAATATATTGAAAAATATAAAAACAATAAAAAATTATACTTCAGAATTTAATTTAGTATCAAAAACGTAAAATATTTGAGTAACCCAAGACATAGCCAAACGTTGCAGCGCCACAGCACTAGTGAAAATTTAAATTTGCCAACTGGAATTCTTTTGGATAACCAACGTTTCGGATAAACGATGCTCTACTGTACTTGCAATAGGTATCTACAATTTATAAGGATATCCTCTAGTTCAGGCAATGTATTCTGCGTATTTGTTTGTATTTTCTTTTATAATTTATTGGGTTGTTCGGAAAATAAGTTCATTTTTTTTCCGTGAAAAACCACAATATTTTTATAATAAATAAATATTTTATTGAATTATATATTGACCATTTTGGTCAAATATCTGTTGTCATGTTTCTGGTAATAGCATGATTTCACATTCATAAAAGTTTTTATCCTTGCTTACAAAAAACTGATTCAAGTGATTTTTGACATTGTCATTTCAATTAAATGTCTTACAGTTAAAAAAAAATTGTATAGACCGGAACAAGTAATAATCTGAGTGTGCTCCATCTGGTGAATATGGTTGGTGTGATAATATGTTTCATCTAAGTTATAACAGTTTCTGACGAGTTACCAAACTTGTGTGAAATTTGACATTATCATGGTAAAACACTACACCTGTTTTGTTGATCAATTCTGGCCTTTTCTGTTTGATGATATTACTCAATTCGTTTACTTGATGGCAGTACACTTTCGAATCAATTGTTAAATTGTCTGGTAAAAGCTCCAAAAACAAAATTTCCTTAAAATCCCACTAAAGAGAGCATCTCTCTAAGAACATGTGGAACCCATATATTGAGCTTTGAAACAAAACCAATTTGTTTCAAGTAATAATAAACAGTTCAATTTGACAGATTTAATCTCTTAGTGATTTCATGTGTTGTTATTCGGCAGTTTGCTTCAATCAGTACCTTTATTTTGTTTTCATTGGCTTCAACTGGCCATCCAGAACATGGTGCATCTTCAATATTGAAATTGCCAGAACGAAATTTTGTAAACCAGTTTTGGCACTGTCTTTCTCTTAACACATCATCTCCATACATGTACCACAATTGTTTTCTTGCTTGAACAGCATTTTGATTTTTTGGTAATAAAAAAGCAAAATATGTCAAAAATGATGCTTTCGATCTTCCATATTTGATGGGATGCAAAAAATAAACAATTGCACAAAATCAAACAAAATTTTTTACAAATAATCCTTAAAATGCTAGCTGTCAAAATATATAATGATAATATGGTTTAGAATAAAACTAGCGGGAAAAATACGTCTAATCCGTCTAGTGGTAAAAAAAATGAACTTACTTTCTGAACAACCCAATAACATTTTATTGGTGATGAATAATTTGAAATATGAAGAACACTGTGATCCTGGAG